TCCTTTGGTTTAAGTGGTGGTCAAGGAACATCTGTGGAAGAGTTGGGAACTTCGTTGATAGCTGAACACTTTATCACAATAAGAAAAGTTATTTATGCTTAAAAAAGTATGCTTAAATTAACATATACTAATGTAAACTTTCTATTGTCACAAAATATATATGTAACATACAAGTATACATACAACTATTAAGTATATATTCTATATAAGTGTATATACAACAAATACTAAATAGTAACATTGCAAATTAGCAATTTCATACCATGTATGTACCTAGAATCAGTACATAGTAGTGATTTGAAATCTGAACATTTTAATATATAAAGAACTCTAAAGTAATTTTTTGACAGAAAAGAAAATAGTCCCTATGAGGCCAAGGATTAGCTCAAATAGTTAGAGCACATGTCATGCATGTTCAAGGCCCAGGGTTCAATCCCTTGCACCCCCCATGGTTCCAACGCACTATAGGATATAGTTCCGGTGAGCCCTGAATACATACATACTAAAGTCAAGATCAGTTTATTAGAAAGTCAAAGCAATTTAAAGACTGATATGCAACCAGGTGTTGATAATAGCTTGCTAAAATATTCAAAAAAGCATCCAGTAAAGGATCAATACATGGCTAAAGGCATATATTTATTATAGATACATGAGCTACTGGATAGTATAATTCTTCTCATTAGTGTACAGAGATGAATCACCCTCACATTAAATAAAGACTCCATGAGCAAAACACTATAGCAAGCATCTGTTGGCTAATGACAAAGAAAACCATGGGTCCTTTGAGGCCAATTTCCATCCAACTGTAAGCATAGAAGCAATAAACACATGCACTGCTATTCAATATCAACCCAAATCACCATAAAAAGAAGGTCCTGGACTTTCATTTTGCTGCAAAGGCACTCCAAGTATTAATTACAAAAAGCTAAACAATTTACTTGGAAAAAATCAACTCTAAATAAACAGATGTCAAAATATGTAAAATATATATATATGTATATACATCCATCTGTATATACATCCATCTTATTGTATTCCATTTTTCTTTGTATCAACATCCATAGTAAGGAGAGTGGTCTTAGGAAGGCGCAAAACAAAGCTGCCAATAAGTCTAAGTTTGTCATCTGCATCCATTCACTTTTTTCCATCCTATTTCATTATCCCCCACATTCATCCCCACCCAACGCTATTCCTAACATTCTCAAATTTTTCGAAATCTTTACTGTGACACTCTGGGGCCTTCCTTGACCTCCTTGCTCCTGTGTTGAAATCAATTATTTTATGTTTTTTCACTATGCCACATACTCTGATAAATTAAGATTACCTACAAACGTCCACAATTATTTTCTGTTTTTGCTTTTCCTCCCATCCTAGATGAATACTTTCTTCTAAGCTCAGCACTACAGCCTCTCCTACCTTCTTATAAGTTGTGGGTTTTTGTTTGTTGGTTGGTTTTCGTTTGTTTTGGGGTCATACCTGGAGGCACTCGGGGCTTACTCCTGATTCAGGAATCACTCCTGGCAGGCTTGGGGAACCTGACAAATGTTTAGCTTAATATGTGAATGAATGTTTGAATATGCAAATTACCTTAGAGTGTAATCCCTCTGCGTCCTCAGTCTGTCTTCTCTGTCCCCCTGGATCATTCACTGTCTACTACGTTGTTTTGTTATATATCAGATGAGAGAACTGGTATTTGCCCTTTTCCCTCTAACTTCCTTCACTTAACATGATGCCCTCCAGTTTTATAACGAGTGTTCGGTTTTTAAGCAGAAAAAAAAAACCAGAAAATTTAAAAGACCTAACAAGTTTGAAAATAAAACATTTTAATATACAATCTCCCCAGCAGATAAAACTGAAGGGAAAAAGAATGTTTGAAAACAAAGATCAAACACAGGGTGCTGAAAGAAAATTTGGTCTCCAGGAAGGGATGAAGCTGGGGTGATACTGTAAAATCCTTTGTTAATATTGTTTCTCCTTCTTGGTCTCCTTCCCGGCAACTTTTTCTGTATCTGTCCACTAATGCACTGAGAGGTTTTATCATCAAATCCTGAGCAAATTCTTTAACCACTTTCTAAAAATGTAGCCTTAAAATCTCTCAAACCTCACCTTTCTTTTAGATCTGCACACAGATCTGCATGTCCCTACTTCTCAGAGAAACCTCAACTTAATGTTCCAAAACCCTACCATTTCCTAACCTTCAATTCTTTATAAACCTCAACATGCACTGGAAATAAATAGCACCACCATCCACTTAATGACCTAACTTGGAAAGCCTAAGTGATTCCTTTCCTGCTTGTTCCCTCTTTCTTCCTGGCCCTCTGAGTACCAACCATTACATCAATCAAGTCTTTAGCTCCTATCTGCAAAACCTCTCTGAAGTCTACCTCTCCTCAAGTTGTGTCCTATCTGGACCATACACTCTGAAGAATCTTTCAAAGTATTTTTTATACTGGGGCCAGGAAGATGGCAGAACAAAGCAGCAAAGCATACTTTATATGGATGAGGCCCCAAATTTGATCCCCAGCACCAAAAATAAAAACAAATCTAAAAAAACTCTGCCGTGAGGTTGGAGAGAGAGCAGTTGGTAAGGAAGGAGCTTGCTTTGCATATAGACCCAGGCTCCCCATGACTTGAATGTTACCTGAACTCAGAGCCAGGAACAAGCCCTGAACACAGCCAGGAGTGGCTCCCTCCAAAAATGAAAAATTTGCATACTTTGGCATACAATTGGCATACTTTGATCAAAATCATCTCTTAATGTATTAGCCACATCAACGTACTGGCTTAGGAACCTTCAAAGTAAGCTATCACATCAAAACCTGTTGACATAGCTTGCTTTGACATAGGCATTTTGTGACACGTTCCTAAAAATTCCACCACATACCATTTATTCTGTCACTGTCACTGACAGAATCGTTGAACTGATGAATCGTTGTTCATCGATTTGCTTGAGTGGGCCCAGTAACGTCTCCATTTTTGAGACTTGTTACTACTGTGTTTGGCATATTGAATACGTCATGGGTAGCTTGCCAGGCTTTGCCGTGCGGGTGAGATACTCTCAGTAGCTTGCTGGGCTCTCTGAGAGGGGCGGAAGAATCAAAGGCAGATTGGCCGGGCTGGCTGTGCGCAAGGCAAATGCCCTACTGCTGTGCTATTGCTCCATTTATTCTAGTGAGGTCAAAATATAGGACCTATCATGGTTATATTTTCATACCCCCTAATTTAATTTGACAACTGTAGAGCATGTACTTTGTGGCAAATTTTGCAGAAGCTATGTCAACACTTAGCATTTCCTGAGAAGATATTTTTTTTTGTTTTTGTTTTTTTTTTATTAGTGAAACACCATGAGGTACAGTTATAGACTTACAAATTTTTGTGCTTGGGTTTCAGTTATGCAATGATCAAGTACCCATCCCTCCACCAGCACCATCCTCCACACCACGGGTCCCAGCATCTCTCCCACCCCCCATACCCCCATCCCACCCTGCCTCGGTGGCAGTGCATTCCCCCTTGTTCTCTCTCTCTCTCTCTCTCGAAGATATGTTTTTAAAGAAGTATTTTTCTCTTCTGGGAGTATAAAAGGGAAATAAACACAGTACAAGGATATACAATAGAGGGTAGCATGTAGAGTAGACTATTCTTTGGAGGGGGCAGATAATAAGCAAAGCAGAATTGAGTGTATTCTACTAGAGCAGCACGTGTCCTTGACATAACCTAAATCACTGAATGCGACACACACCCTTCTCTGGAGTAAGAGACAGCTGTGAAGGACAATTTGTACCTCCAAATTCCCATCTTAGTGGTTCATACTTCCCCTCTACATTTTACAGCTAATTAAATGATATGCTTATATTGTTGTAATGTGTGCCCCCAATAAAATCAGATTGTTATCATACATAACTGCCTTGAGTTAAAAAGCAAAACCATGTAAATGAGACAGCACTGAACACAAAAACCCTTAAGTCCATGAGGAATAAGGCAAGAATACTTTGCCCCACGTGTGGTTCCAGTGGCTTCCTAAACACCACCTGGGGAAATTACCCCACCCCAAGAAAAAATACCCACCAAATCCTAAAAAGGAGGTAAGTATAGAAGGTAAGACAGTTGCCCAACTTTGGTTCAATCCACATCACTATATATGGATGGTCATCTGAGCACTCTAGCAAAAGTAGAGAGTATCGCAGAAATTGTCTGCCATAGAGGCAGGGCAAGGACTGGAAAAGGGGGGGGGGGGGGCATTGGATAATGGGGAAATTGTGGTGGAAAATTTGCACTGGTAAAGAAATGGGTGTTCAATCATTGTATAACTGAATCTCAAACATGAAAGTTTTGTAACTGTATCTCACAGTGATTCAATAAAAATAAAAATTAAAAAAACAAACCTTTGTAACAGCTTCATTTCTTTCAATCACATGTCTTAGATAATGAAGCAAGCAATCGCAATATATTTAACTGTGTAATAATAATATTTGCCTCCTATTAAAACTCTCAGGGAAAGAGATATTTGACAGTGCCCTAAATTTTTCAGACACAGGAGCTAGAAAGATACTATAAGGATTAAGGTGCTTGCCTCACTGCAGCCTACCCAGGTTTAATCTTTGATACAGAAGATCATCCCCCCCCCCCAAGTCCTGTCAGGAGTGATCCTGGAGCACAGATCTAGGTTATGCACTGAGCACAGTCAGGGCATGGCCCCCAAACAGTAACAAACAAACAAACAAAAAATTCATTAACGGGGGCTTGGAGAGATGACTCAAAGGACTGAATGCATCCTGTGCATGCCAGAGGTGCTCGTTCCATTCCTGGCACCAGAGGGCCACCAGAGGGTCCCCTGGACAATAAGAAAAGTGACCTATAAGCATGAAGCCCATAGTAACCCCTGAGCACCACCAGCTGTGGTCTAAAATCCCACCCTCCAAAAAATCCTCCAAGATTTCAGAAACAATACTTTCTCATAAAATGTTTTTTAAAAGGCAAATGGACTCAAAAAAGCAGCTTACCTTAGGTTTTCAGCCAAATCCTCAAGGAACTGTCTACAGCATAAATTCCAGTTTAGGCAGACACCTGGAAGAAAGGGAGGGAGGGAAAAAACAATCAATGACTAAATATGAGTAGAAAATATAATCTTTTCAATATAAGAACTCCACCTTTGATTCTTCACCCCTAAGTGCTTATATTCAAATTATTCTTTAAAGACATATAGAATTTCTCCCTAAGTACTGCCAGGGTGGTCTTGCTGGACCCCAGCAGAGAAGGACCTGAGCAGTAAAACATCCTCAGATCACAGCACTAAGCCACTGCCCAACTGGCTATTACTGGGAGTGGCTCCTGGGCCCCTTGAGCATGGCTTTGAAAGCCAAAAAGAAACAAAATAGAATTTCCAGAACATTAATTCTACTTGATATTCTATTGCCTTTAATTATTAATTTTCTTTTAATTCTTTACATAAAAAATACAAAAAGCATATATCCAAGTAGCATGGTGGAATTCAATCCAAAAAAAGCATTTTTTGCTCAAACACTCAAGATATTCGCCATTTGTGCTGTTCCAGTGATCCTCCTTCCAGGACCTTCTGTTTCATCTTAGGCATGTAGTCACGTTCCCTGCTTTAGATACAAAAGTGTGATGGACATGATGGGAATCATTGGCAGGCAGAACTTTCAAGAGCCATTAAGTCACAACTGGAAGATTTACTTACTTGCTACAGTGCTTAGAGAATAAAGTATAAGCAGATGGAGCTTTGATCAGACTTGTTCTCTGAATAGTTCCAAAGAGAATTTTGGTAACTTCTCGTCTAGAATACTGTCCTAAATAACAAAATATCTAAACAAAAACTTGCATCATTGCTCATTTATTACTACAAAAAAAAAAGGGAACAAATTTAATCTCCAATGATTAAACTAGAATAATAAGTAATCATGAAAACTACATATAAATAATGGTTAATGACTACCACAGAAAACTGTGTGAAGGACACAGATGGAAGCATTATGTACTCTATGATCCATTTTCTACATATGTAATTCTAGAATGGGCAAAATCAATCTGGAGATAGAAAGCAGATTAGTCACTGAAGGAACCAAACATTATGTCAAAGAACTGACTGCAAAGTAATTTACCAGAAACTTCTAGAAGTAATGGAAATTTTCTCTATCTAGAATACAGTGTCAGTGACAGGAATACATGTTAGCAAAAACCCATCAAACTGTTCTGCATTTAAATCACATTTTTGCTGAAACTTTTAAATAAAATAGGGGCCCTGGGGATAGTTCAGCTGCTTAGAGTGCCTGCCTTGCAGCCATGAGGCTCTGAGTTCAATCCCCTGCTGCACATGCACCAAATGAAGTCTAAACAGTTCTGTTTGTGCCTGGCAGCTATGCTGTGATCCCCAGCATCCTTACTGCAGTGAGGTATGTGCAAGCACTGGAACTAAAAGATGTGCCAGTGCCATGAAGAAATACAAGCAAGGGCGAGGGTAGGTGTAAATATCACAGCTCCTCACACTGTGTAGTACAACCAGAATGTGCACAAGTACCACAGCTAGAGCAGCATGACCCCTAGGAAGCATACGTTAAGCACTGCAGCTGAATTACGTGACCCCTAGAGAGCATAGCAAGTGAGAGTAGGAGCACAGTAACCTGACGCGCCACCCCTCAGTGAGGACAATTCAAAAATGTGAATGCTGCAACCAAAATGTGTAAGCTCTAAACCCACATGGGCGTGGCTCCCCAGGAATCCAAAAACCACAATGAGAAGAAGGAAAAATTAAAAATGAAACTAAAATTCAACTTTAAAAAATAATTTAGAATTTGTTCAATGCTTAATTACAGAAAAAAGTCCATCTACTGAAAAAGCTGATTTACAAAATTTGCATGACAAAATACTAGAACTACAATGTTAATATTAGTACACTTTGCAAAAAAGATTATAATTTTCCTTGTGTCCTGTATTTTCAAAAGATAACAAATCAGTATGTAGCATTGTTTAGACTGCGTATAGTAAAATACTATCTTACTGAGAACAAGAGTTTAAAATCTAGAATTTGCAGTTACATTCATTTAGTGTGTCCATGTTTACTGACTGCCTCCACGCACCAACAGCATTCTAGATGGCAGAGCAATTGTTCTGCTTTTGGATGTGTTCCCCCAAAGTTCAACTAGACAAACCTTCAGGTAACCATGACAGCCAGTGAACATGCAAGCATGAAAAATCTGCAAACTCCATGTATTTATCATTTTTATACTGGCAAATAAAAGGGAGGACTATCTTACCTATTTATGATTATCTATTATCTTATCTTTCTAAAATTGAGCCAAACATTTTCATCATGTTTAATGATGAACATGTATCAGTGTTGATAACTATGGTTTATGTGCAAATGTGTTTATAGGGGTTATATGCATTTAATAACTTCATTTAAATTTTGATATTTGAACAGTTAATTATATAAAGGATTAAACGTTTTTAAAAACTGAGTGTTGAAATTAAGTAAAGGGATAGATTCCTGATAACCTTTCAGTCTTTCAGTATCTGTATTGCAAACCATAATACCAAAAGGAGGAGAGGGAGGAAGAGAGGGAGGGAGGTAGAGAGAGAAAGAGAGGAAAAGTTTCTGCCATAGAGGAGGGGAGTGGGAGGAAACTGGGGACACTGATATTGATGGTGGGAAATAAACACTGGTGAAGGGATGGGTGTTGGAACATTATATGACAAAAACCCGATCATGAACAACTTAAAAAAGAGAAAACAACAAAAAATTTAAATAAAGTTTTTACAACTGTTAAGATGCCTAAAGTATTTAAAACTATAAGAAACTAAAAAATGTAACTGTAAAAGAAATACGACAAAAAAAAAAAAGAAATATGACAATGAAGACAAACTGTCACTGTCACTGTCCTCCCAGTGTTCATCAATTTGTTTGAGAAGGCACCAGTAATGTCTCACAACAAATTGTGAGACTTGTTACTGTTTCTGGCATATCGAATATGTCACAGGTAGCTTGCCAGACTTTGCTATGCAGGCGAGACACTCTCGGTAGCTTGCAGGACTCTCCAAGAGGGGCAGAGGAACTGAACCTGGGTCAGCCGCGTGCAAGGCAGACGCCCTATCTGCTGTGCTATGGCTCCAGCCCATAGAGAAGATCAAAGAATATTAATATAAAAGAAACTGCTGATTCATTTCTTTTCAAGCTACAATCAACATGGAAGGACATAACAAGAAACATTTGCTTCAGCAGTGAGTTTGGAAATTCAAGACATTGTGGACAGGAGTTAAACAACCAAATAAACTTCTCACCATAATTGTGAGACATCTACTCATTTGCAGACATCTACTCATATGAAGAAAAAAAGTAGAAAAAACATGTACGAGAGTTTAACCCAGAAATTATTTTAAAACAAGGGGTACCTAGGATGAATCACTATGTTTAATCATAACTATAAAATATGCTCCACTACCCAACCACCGCCACGCTCCAGGCAGCTTTCCGGATGCTCAGGCCGAGCCTCACATATAAATGAAGTCCCACGGAACACAGATAATGTGGAACTTTGTGACCTTGGACTCTGGACTCAATGGACCGGGGCCAGAGATCCTCTGCCTGCTTCTCCCAGTCTCCAGTGACCCAGGGATCACTCATAAGCCACACCCTGCCAGTACCAGATGACCTTCTCATTGGCCACCTTCCAGAACTCACAGCTGCTCCTCCTAGACGGGAGTATAAAATGAGGCCCCCATAACCATGCCACCAGACTCCGCACCAGGCTGTTTTCACTCGGGGCGCCCCAAAATGGGGCAGCTGAGAGCCCTCCCTGCCCCAAGAGACCCAGCCCCAGCAGCTGACCTCCACTACCCAATCACTGCAACGCTCCAGGCTGCTTTCTGGACCGTAGCTGCCTGACAATTATAAAGCACTTCCTACCCATTATCCACAATTACCACATCATATTTGATGGGGTTCAGACAGTAGGCAACAAATCAGAGAGAAATATATAAACATATGCCTCTCGGAGAGTCCAGCAAGCTACCAAGAGTATCCTGCCTGCATGGACAGAGCCTAGCAAGCTCCCTGTGGCGTATTCGATATGCCAAAAAGAGTAACAACAACAGGTCTCATTCCCTTACCCTGAAAGAGCCTCCAATTGTTGGGAAAAGACGAGTAAGAAGAGGCTGCTAAAATCTCAGGGCTGGGAGGAATAGAGATGTTACTGGTGCCTGCTCGAGTAAATCCACGAACAACGGAATGACAGTGATACAGTGACAGTAATATAATATGCTATCTTTTTAAGTCTGTTTGGTTAGTAATCAAACAAAACACTGTGCTCCCGTCGTTCATCGATTTGCTCAAGCGGGCCCAGTAACGTCTCCATTTTGAGACTTGGTGTTACTGTGTTTGGCATACTGAATACATCATGGGTTGCTTGCCAGGCTCTGCTGTGCGGGCGAGATACTCTCGGTAGCTTGTCGGGCTCTCGAGAGGGGTGGAGGAACTGAACCCGGCTCGATCGGGCTGGTTAGTAATCATTAGTTATTAATTAGATATTAATAATAAGTAGAATCCAAAAAGTATTAGGTTGATCAGTTTAAAACAAAATACAATGAAGCAACATTATATGAATTACTAGGATATGCTAGAATAATATATGATTAGCATATATAGCTAGTACAGATGATTGAAATAGTCTCAGAAATTAAGAATATAAAAGGAGATGAAGATTGCAGCACTGTTCACAACAGCCAGAATCTGAAATTAACCTGAGTGCCTGAGACTAGATGTCTGGATAAAGAAACTATGGCACATCTACACAATGGAATATGACGCAGCTGTTAGCAAAAATGAAATCATGAAATTTGCTTATAAATGAATAAACTTGGAGATTATTATGCCGAGCGAAATGAGCCAAAAGATATAAAATGATTACACTCATTTGTGGGATGTGGAAAAAACATAGTCTGAGACTAATATCCAAGGTCAGTAAAAAGAGACCAGGAGGACAGGTCAATGTTTGGAAACTTACCACATGTTTGTGGAGGGCAAAGGGCAGTTAGGATAGAGAAAGGACCAG